GGTACAAGCTTCTTGCCACATTCCAAGGAAAAAGCATCGGAATTCTGCAGACTTTTTTACAAAATACTATATATATTAATAGTAATCAGGTATATTTATAATATTTATATATATAAATGATAATAATATATATATATATATGGAAACCCGTCGAGTCTCGGATGCTCGGAACCTTTTGAGCTGAGCTCACCATTTTTGTTGTTTAGCCGAGGAAACAATACCCCCAATAGGCTCGATTGCTAACTCGTTCACCCCTGGGGCAATATGTGTCGTGACGACGTGGATATTTGCGTACGGTGATTGGTAGCGACGGTTAGGTGCCCATAACTGGTGGAAGTGTGTCAAAGGGGTGACTGGCGCCAATGTCAAGGCGATGATTGAGATGACATCAATAATAAGGCTATATAATTTAAAATATATTTGAAAATTAGTTAAATATAATGATTTCTTAAGTAGCACACAAAATCAGAACTGAGAAGAATTTAGATTACTTAAAATTTTACTATGTTATTCTTTACTTTAGCCAAACACTTGATATTTTTGAAAACTCCTGGCGTTGGAAACTGGTTGACACCATTACTTCAAACCACACCTCAAAAATTTTTGAAAGTTCATGGTTTACTGAGAAGCTTATTGAATGAATAGTGTCTTGCAAAGTAACGTTTTTAACACTTCAATTATGATCTATTTGGTTCCTAATCTTCAAGAATCATTAAACTAGCAGGTCCCCTGAAATAATACACCTAAAATGTTTCCCATTATGACGACAAGAATGAAGAATTCTTTTCTTTTTTGGTAAACATGTTAGCATGCCTTCGTCGTTTGAATTTTATTATCTAGCCTCCTGAAGTTATTTGACCTAAATTTTGGCCATGCTAGCTTGAGTTATTTATTTCTCTTCTTCATGTTAAAGGTTTCTTCGATTTTTTCTTTAAAAAAACCATCTTTCTTTCTGGATCTATGTACAAGAAGTAAATCTAATCCGTTATATTTGGTGAGTTAAAAACAGTCACTGCTGTTCATCTTAAGCAGCTTTCAGTAGAAATTCTTATATTCTAAGGTGGTTTATCGTATTGATAGCGGACATCTCAACCCGTCCATCGGCTAAGCCGATGAGGAGCTGAAATCGACGACCGGATCACTTTGTTTCTATTCGTTTATAAGGTGTATTGTTTAATTTATTTTGCAATTGTTCCTTTTTACCTCTTTGTCTTATGTAAGCTATAGGTGACAAATTGTGTTTTTGTAATTTTCTCTGACGGCAATAATACCGGAAGCCCTTCTCTTTATTTGTGGATGATTGAGTTCTCTAATAAATACAAAAATTGCGTTTTGGCACTGGGTTCTTTGGGAAGACGTTATGAAATCCATGTAGGGTTGGATCGGAGGTTTCAACCAGCCCGGCAGATGGGTCCGGGCTGTGAATGAAGTCCTTGGAGAAGGGCAACTGAGTACCCGTCAGGCTGCAGGATGTTCCAGGGCTCGCGGTTGATCTCTTAATATTGTTTGTTTATTTGTTTTGTTCCTTGCTCTTATGCTTTTATCGTTAGCATGTATCTTCTCTCTCTCCACATCCTTGTGTTGGCCGCTGGAATTCGTAGCGGAAGCTGTAAAGTTACTAGAGCTTTAATAATCATAAATTACATATTTAGTAATTTTTTGGGAAAAAAGTAGCTTTAGCATCTTTTAGGTTTTTTTCCATTTAAAGCCTCCATGTTTTCAAACTGAGTAATAATATTTATTATTATTTTTCAAAAAAATTCAGACAGCTAATACGAGCCAGCTTCCGGCAATAATCCGAGTTCTGTCAAGCTCGAATTCGAGCTCTAGTTTAACCTCGAGCTCAAGTTCAAGGCTCGATAAGCTCGGCTCACAAGCTCGTTATCAAGCTAAGTTCGAGTCGGCTTGTGTGAAAAACCCGAAAAATATTGATCGTAAGTGTTGCACGCATTTCGATACACATTGATGAAAATTAGACGAATTTTCAAAATCGTCGGATCTCGACAAAAATATTTTTATAAAACTGTATATAAAATTTTGATCAAATCTATTTAAATGACTTATAGGGAATTTCGTATAGTTTGGAAATTAAAAATCATACAAGTTTCCTAAATTTTTAAAAAATGACTTAATAGCCCTTCCTAATTTTAAATAAACCTAAGGCATGTGAGGGTAAAATGGACCTTTAGCAATCCCTATCCACATCCTTAGCTTTAAGGGACCGAATCTTTTAGGTCCCTTCTCCATTTGTTCAGCCGAAACACGAAGAAAGGGAGGGGACGTACAGGAGGTGACGCAAGTTTTCGTGCGACAGCGACGGCGGCGGTTTCCGCGGCCAACCTTGAGGGAAATCGTAGAGGGAGACTCAAAGGAGACTAAGGTATGCTTGTAATCAAGACATTTCATCTTTTCATGTAGAGTTTTTTAGGAGAAAAATTTTAGAGTAAAATTTTAGAGTTTTGAAAAAACTAAAAATTTTTAAAGGGGGATTGCTAGGGAATGATTGAAGATACTTCTTAACCACAAGAATGAAGTTTTCCCCAAAATTTTTGTGAGTTCAAAAAATTAGGATTTAAATATTTTTGGATTTCAAGAAAATTTCCTTAATTATTATTGTTCCAAAGGACCTTAGTGAGGTTTTTAATGGTAAAATTAGGGTTTTGCACAAATTTTAATTTTCCTAATTTTTTAATTTAAATTAATCCGAATTTAAATATACCCTAACCATAAAGAGGATGTTTTGGCATGAAACGATAATGAAAATAGTGAAATCTATGTTTCCAAAAATTAAGGTTTTGAGAAAAACCGAAAATAGAAATTAATTTAGATTTATTTAGGTTAGGGTAAAAGGTTAATTTGGGTAAAACATGGATTTAGACAAAAATTTGAAATTTTATATGTAGGATTTATTAGATCCGAAAATGAAAAGTTAATTACTTATTTAATAAAAATGTAAAAGATATCATAATTAAGGAATTAATATTAATGCTTTGCTTTTACATTTAAACTTAGATGTCGGTTATAAAGGGATGCCTCGAGAGTAAGCGGCGTCGTTGAGGTTTACTGCGCTTTTGAGGTAGGTATTCATACCTCTTTAAATGCTAAAATTTTATATGCTTTAATATTTTATGTTAATTAAAAGTTTTATGTTAATTATTTAAAATTCATACTGCAACACGCATATATTTCCTTTTAGAATTATTTAGTTATTAACATGTAAAATTTGAGGAGAACATTTGAGAACGAAAGAGTATTAGACAAGCATGAAACATTATCATCTTGTCACGATCCGACCCGATTAGCCTGATTTAACGTGACAGGAACTGACGGTCATACGGTAGTTATAAAAACTTAACACTTTCATTCTACAATTATCATAAACAAGAATAATCATCCAATTACAAAATAAGAAAGAGCCACTAAACTTCCTGTTAAATTATCTGATTTACATCAACACAATCTCTCAAAATATAAAATGAAACCACTACATTAATCCATAACACATCAACTAACATAAGACATATCATAACTATAAAAACTTGTTTCCTTACACTGCTCTACGCTAGTATATAACAGGACTATCAGCCATCAATCTCTAGCAATTTCTCCTGAAAAATATTCCCACAAGAAGCAGGTAATAAATATCTCCTTTAATTTAATAAGACAAAAAAATAAGAAATACTATGCTCATATGATAAAACTGAAATAATATGGAGGAAAAGTATTATAATGCCAATAATTTGTCCTAAATATGCATAATTCATATATCATTTTTAAATGCATGTTTTTCTTAAATCATAACATTCTTCATTTTTCAATCTTTACTTAACTTTTCCTTTCTTATCCTTATATGCATATAAGCATAAAATACATAGTCTTATTTGTATACACCCATCACGAAAGTACCAGTATTTTGTACTGATCAGGTACACAATCAAATTTGGCCAAACATTTCATTTCATTTACTCCGAAGAGTCGTTTACAAATCACTCTGAGGAGTCATTTACTATTTTGCTCCGAATAGCCCTTTACCAATCATCATGCACATTCATTCATAATGCTTATAATATAACTTAAATCATTCATGAATTCATATATGTTTATTTAAATTTGTTTCATGTTCATTTTGTTTCATGCTCATTCTCTTATCTACATAAACTTTATTTAAAAGATATGCCACCTTACTTAACATTACACTAACAATCACATGAGTACTAGTTTAACATTAAAAAAAATGTACTAGTTTAACATTACACTAACAATAGACATAAATACAAATTTAATATTTTATTGAATAATAATATGAATATAATTCTAACATGTGATGGTTGAATGAAAAATAAAATTCAATAATTAAACATATACATTATTTCATATTAATAAAAGTTCAGAAACATGAATTTAATCTAAATACAAGTAACTACCTTAAGAAAATACCGGATGTACGAGGATATTAGATTATCTCCTTGATATTTTTTCTCTTCCACTTCCATCTCCAAAATTTATGAAAACCCAACATAAACATAAATCATTTCCAATAAAGAATTTTAATTTTCCTAGTAATTATCATAACATTTCATGATCATTAATTTAAATTTTCGGATTTTTTATTAATCATAATTTTTGGAAATCATAATTTCATTAATTTTATCGAATAACCATGCCAAACTTTCCTATAGACTAAATTAATATTTAGGTTAATTTTATTTTCATAATTTTAATATTAAATTAATTCGAAAATAAAGTAACCTAAATATTAATTAGATTTATAGGAAAGTTTGGTATGATAATTCGATGAAATTAAGAAAATTATTATTTCCAAAAATAAGGTTTAAAAATAAATCCGAAAATTTAAATTAATGATCATGAAATAATAAGGTGATAACTAGGGAAATTAAAATCCTTTCTTGGAAATGAATTAGGTTTATGTTGGGTTTTTATAAATTTTTGAAGTATAAAAGGAAAAGCATCAAGGAGAAACTAATATCCTAGTGCATCTGATATTTCTTAAGGTAGGTACATGTATTTAGATTAAATTCATCTTCATAAACTTTCATTAATATGAAATAATGCAAATTTTTAATTATAGAACTTTCATTTTCATTCAACCATCACATGTTAGAATTATATTCATGTTATTGTTCAAGAAATGTTAAATTTGTATTTTTGTCTATTGTTACTGTAATGTTAAACTTGTACCCATATGATTGTTAATGTAAGGTTAAGTAAAGTAGCATGCCTTTTAAATACAGTTTATATAGACAGGAAAATGAGCATGAAATAGAATGAGCATGAAACAAATTTAAACAAACATGTATGAATTCATGAATGATTTAAGTTCTATGATAAGCGTTATGATTAAATGTGTATGATAATCCGGAGTACCAAATGGTAAAGGGCTCTTTGGAGCAAAATAATAAAGGGCTCCTCGGAACGATTAGTAAAGGACTCTTCGGAGTAAATGAAATGAAATATTTGGTCAAATTTGATTGTGTACCTGATAAGTACAAAATACTGGTACTTCCAGGACGGGTGTATACAAATAAGACTAAGTATTCTATGTTTCTATATATATAAGGATAAGAAAGAAAAAGTTAAGCAAAGATAGAAAAATAAAGAAGGTTGTGATTAAAAAAAAAATGGACATTTAAAAAGAATATATGGATTATGCATATTTAAGATAAATTCTTGGCATTATAATATTTTTCTTTCATATTATTTCAGTTTTGTCATATGAGCATAATGTTTCTTATTTTCTTGTCTTATGAAATTAAATGAAATATTTATTATTTACTGCTTGTGGGAATATTTTTTAAGAGAAACTGCTAGAGATTGACGGTTGATAGACCTACTACATACCAGCGTAGAGCAGTGCAAGAAAACAGGTTTTTATAGTTATGTTATGTCTTATTTTAGTTGATGTGTTATGGACTAATGTAGTGATTTCATTTTATGTTTTGAGAGATTGTATTGATATAAATTAGATGCTTTAACTGGAAGTTTAGTGACTCTTTCTTATTTTGTAAATGGGTGATTATTGTTGTTTATGATAATTGTAGAATGAAAGTGTTAAGTTTTTATAACTACCGTACAACCGTCAGTTCCCGCCCCGTTAAATTGGACTAATTGGGTCGAGTCGTGATATTATGAGCCAGCTCAGCTCACTTACATCCCTAATTGACACCCTCCGCCCACTGACCTCCACCATCGTTAGGTTTTATATTGCATTCATTTTACATAAAACCAAATAAAAAATAATCATCTACATTTATTTTATACTCATCAAAATAACTTCAAATATTTCAAATGCACTGAATTCATTTTATATTATATTCCATTTTACATTGCATTCATTTTTTAACCCAGCCAAACCGCCACTAAGATAAGCAGTTGTGGGGACCTAAAATTATATTCACATACTACCTAAGTTTATATATACAAGAATCCATCTAAGTTTTTCCTTTTATTCTAGCTGATTGGTTCATGTCTGAGGTTCTCTTGAGCTACATGCAATCCTGAGCCTTTTCTAGCAGTAATCATTCAATAATCACTATTCAAAGATAGCACGTAATACATCAATGACAGCAAATGTTCCATCGCCATCTCTACTCTTCAATAATACTGATGAAAAAGTTTAATTTCAGCTTACCACCTACAGCTGCACCAATAAGAGCCACAAAAAATGACACAGGCATGCTGAGCACTGAGTTACCGATTCCGCATGTTTCAGCTAAAGCTTGAAAAGGTAGCATCAACATCAACGAGTTCGCAAGAATAAGCCCTTGCTCAAAGCTGAATGGTAACTTCCTCTGCAATGAATAACTTGATACGAAATGATAGGGAATGAGAGGTTTAAATTTCTAAATATGAAAACTAGTTAAAATGTATAACATAAACTTGGGAATAACATGACCACGACATGAAAGTAAAAAATAAAAATGATGAATGTATTCACTTTTAATGAAGAAGACTAGTAATAGCAATGGAAGATAGTCCTTAATAGGGAGAAAATAATGTTTGTACCTTCCAGATATAACTGTAAGATAAAAGAAAGCTCAAGAAAATATGTTATTCGTAATATGCACTGCATGGCATTTTAAAACAAGAAATAACCCAAGACAAAACCCAAGTTTTGTTTAAACTTGCAACCCCTACATAAAGTGGAATTCATGGAACCTTGTATTTCAAAACTGCCTATCATCCAATAATTAAATCCGGGTTCCTACTATTATACCAAAAGCTTCAGTCAAAGTAGGGTGTTATGGCATACCCAAGAGGGGAGAGCTGAATTGGTATGATTTTAAATATCAATAAATTTTCTCTTTTAAAGCAAAAAAAATTTGAAAGTAGAGTGCTTTGATTGAAAAAGGCGAACATTAAATATTTATATAAAAGAATTATTTCTAGAATATTTAAAATTCTTCTTAAATCTCACATCACAGGATTTTTGTAAGATAATTTGCTTCAAAATATTAAAAAGCTTTTCTAACATCTCAAATTACAAGTATGCATAGTTCACAATTGATACGTCACCAAAAAAATCATCTCAATTGGGGCGCATATCTCGAGGCATATTCGAATTGAAAACTTCTAAAGTTAAATATGAGACCATCCAAACTCTGATTTCGTCAAAGTTATAGTCAAACTAAACGACTCAGCAAGACAAATCCAATGACAACAAAATTGATCCAATCCGAGCCCAAGTGGGCCCTAATAAATGGCCTAAAACATATTTGAAAGCTTCAAAACAATAAGTAGATGATCAAATGATACTAAAATATGGCATGCTTATAGTCAAATCGAGCGGCCTAATGAGACGAATCTAACAACCATAAGATTGCTTAATTCTGACACTATTAAGGCACTTAAATGATTGACAAACGTTCTATGATCGAGAGGATCAATGATTCATCCGATGGAACACTCTAAATTTGCTCTAGAAATTCTCTATTTTCACGGGGTATGTCACTCTCAAAATCTATAAATAAACCCTCACTCTATATATGAGGATGACTTTTGGAGGACGAACAAGGGAGGCTATGACCTTGTAATAGAGATTTAAGAGCTTTAGGCATGCATATTGGAGCACAACCGCCGGTGAACCCTCACTATCCGGCTTCCGCTGTCGAACTTTCATCAATCGATCGTCGTTGGTCGTCCACCTAGCCGCTGCTATTGCTGGACCTCATCCCTTCCGCCGCTATTGGAACTCAATCCAACCATCATCGTTGGACCTCCGTCTGGCCGCCACCACCTAGTCTCTGCTCGACTCCCTTCACCCGCCGACTACGACCCTTCTTACATCCATCACCCACCGACTATAGCCCTTCAACCTCAATCTCTTGACTACGGTCCTTCTGACCTCCGTTGCCCACGAACTACGGTCCCTCTAATATCCATCGTTTGCCAACTATAGCCCCTCTGACCACCATCATTAGACTACGGTCCTTCAACCTTAGCCGTCCAACTACAATCCTTCTAACCTCCATAGCCAACCAACTATGGCCCTTCCAACCACCATCGCCCAACTACGGGCCCCCCAACCTCCGTTACATGCCTACTATAGTCCCACTGACCTCCGTCACCTAACTACTACGATCCCACCGACCTTCATCGCCCGCCAACCATGGCCCTTAAGCCACAATTGCCCGTTGACTATGGTCCTCAAACCACCGTCGCCCAACTACAATCCTTCCAACCTTCATCTCCCGACTATGGTCCCTCCAACCTTCTTCACGTGACGACAATCCCTCCTATCATCATCACCAAACTACAGCCATCCCATCTATAGTCCTCGAACCACCATTATTAGAATATGATCCCTCCAACCTCTGTCACCTGACTATTGTCCCTCTGACCTCCTTCACCCGATTTCGGTCCCTCCGACCTCCATCACCTGACTACGATCCTCAAACTACCGTCGCCTTACTACAGTCCTACCAACCAAACGAACTGGTCATCATTCTCTTTAGAACAGCTCTCATGTCATTGGATTGATCCAATTCTAACCATATAATGTGCTTTGTACAATATATATTTGCTACATTAAGCCAAAGCATTCCCCGAGAAAGGTATTATTTGTAATCAATAACAAACATTAGTGGAATCATTTTAACTGGATGTTTCCCTTTAGGGCTTTTCACGTAAAAAATATGGTGTCTATTATGATTGATGCACCCCACTCTATTATCTATATGTATGTTAGATCTTCATACAAAGCTAAGATGTTAAACTCTCTATCTCTATCGTCACGAATGTTTTGGCATACAACATTATTTACAAACATCATCAAAGAGCATGGTAATAAATAATTAAAAGTACTGAAAAAAATAAAGTGCGAAAAATAAATAATGGCAAATTAATATAAAGTGTTTTAGTTGTCAAGAGCCTCACTCAACTCCTCCAGTCATTTTCTATTACTCTTTCTTCTATTATCGTAATGTGGAAAACCATCTCTCATTCACGAGTATTAGAGAAACCCTACAATCCTTTCTACTCTAAGATAGAAGCTACAAGTTGTTTAAAGATCCAAGATTTGAGATCCAAGATCTCCCACAAGAAATAAACAAATGCTTTCGATCAATCATATTTTTCAATGTGAGAATCCAAAAGTTTTGGGAAGAAGAAGATGACCATTAGTGTAATTTCATAGTTTCCATCTAGAAACTCTCTAGGAATGCAAGTAGTGGTTTTGAGTTTCCAATAGCTTTTTCTCTAATTTTTTTATCTAGGATTTAGTAAAGGCTTTAATATTAAGTTCATTGCATATTAGAACAAACCCTACGGCTGCTTAAAACAATACATAAAATTTTGCTAGTTGATCGTAAAAAACAATTATAATCATACATAACAATTAGTTAAAATTAAATTGTATTTACCATTTGAATTGTCATACAAGTCAATTAAATTTATTTCAAATTAAAAATCATATAGTACAATAAGTTCAATATTTCACTATATCAAAGTTACCTTTTTGTAACGAACAAATCTACAGCAAAATAAGGAAGATCCGTCGCAAAATACGATTTGCAGCAAAATATAATCCGACACAAAAAGTGGCATTGTAAAATTATTTGCAGCAAAGAAAATCCGCCGCAAATATTTCAACGGATTTGTGAAAAATTTGTGGTAGAATTTCAGCCAAAAAAAAATTAAAAAAATACCAAAAATTCTACACAGCTAGCTAGGCTGCCTGGTACCCATGCCTGACCAGGCTGCCCACTACCTGTGTCTGACCGGACTGCCCGCTGCCCACACCATTTCCTGCCTGACCGGCTTTCCCAAGATGCAAACCCTGCTCCACTCGTCAAAACCATCGCCATTCTCCACTGAGTCACGGAGACAACAGAATTTAAAAGGCTTTTCTTTATATTATAACTCAACTTGCAGTGAATTTGTGACATCAATTTCCTTCGCAAATTTGTGGCGGAATTTTTGTCACAAACCCGCTGCAAAAAACATCAAAATTTTTTTTAAAAAAAGCATTGCAAATCCTTCGACATTTGAAACGGACATTATTCTGCCATAAATTCCGTCGCAAAAAGCTAACATTATTGTAGTGTTTTGAATAATTATAATTAATGGAAATTGATTATATCAATTTCATTAAGATAATCATATTGATTGTGTAGTATGATGTACATCACATAATACTATTAGTTCAAATTTTGAATTATATTAATTAATATAAAATGATCTTATTAATATTTATCAAAATAAGATTGATCGTATAGTATGACATATTATACAATACAATGTATATCATACTCTTATAGTATGATATTAAGATAACCAAACTAAAATATCTCAACTATAATTTTGAAATCGAGCTTGACAATACAGTATGATTCAAAATCACATCGCCCAATCAAATCTATAAGAATTCTCAGTCCTAGTTAATCAACAGTACGATCCAGTATTGTGCAACATCATATAGTATGATCGGTTAAGATCAACTTTTAAAAATTTTAAGTTAAATTTTATTTAAGCTCAATTCTTTTGATGTGTTGGTCATCTTGACAATCTCAACGCCTAAAAATATGATAATATATAATAGGAAAAAAGTAACACTTTGGATCTTGAACCAGTATCTAAGGGTATGCTTCAATCCACTATCCATAGAACGCTTTCTTCAATTTGAATATATGATTTAGTATATGTAGAGCTTTCAAAATCAAGTGGATGCTCAACATAAACATCTTCTATAACTTAATTCAAGAAAGTACACTGGTATCCATTTAATACAATAAGAACCCATCGAAACATGCAAAAATAAGAAGTAATCTAATAGCTTCAAAACATGTGATTGGTGTGAAAGTTTAATTAAATTCAATTCCTTCTACTTGATTGATTTCTAATTATTAATTCATATTCATTTAGTTTACTCATGAATATCTATTCGGTTCTTATGATATTCTAATTAGTTATTTTAGGAATTAATTTTTAGGTATTATTTCTAATAAATTGATTTAAATCTTATTGCATAATCATAACCAAAATTCATCCGATAATACTTCTTCCACTCTGCTTGGCTCGATTAAGACAAATATCTTGTGATTGACTTTCTTGCTAAGTGTGTTTATTATTCTAACTCTTGCATAGGGATCTCCTAGTAGTAGTTTTTAAGGATGACTAGATGTATAACTCTATTTTCTAGGAAGTGCTTTTACTTCTTTTTCTTTCAAATAATGATCTTTAATGTTCATTGTGATTCCTCATATGTATCAACTTCTTTAATATGGTCTTAATAAATGATTCATTAAATGTAAATGAATTAATTATTCTACTACAAAGTTTCTCTTATTCAATACTCTATATAGTTT